CGTGTCAACCAATCATTTGCCCGTTTGAGCCAAATTACCGTTATTCAACAATTTTTGCCCAGTATTGTATACTTATTAATTAATAATAAAAACTTTATTATTATTTTTTTTTGCTTATTAATGATATAATTTGCAGTTTATTACAATATATAATTCATATAAAAGTCTACTATTAATATATTACATAGATTCATTACTTCTATTGTCTTAAATTTCAAAATTTATTATAATGTTAGAATGAACTGTATGGCCACGAAATAACTCCCGTAAGCATTATTTCAGTAATTGTATCCTTCGATAATACTATATTTTTGCTCAAAATAATCCCTTTGCATGTTTCGAATAATATACACTTTGTATAACGCGTATTAGTTGATTTGACGTATATACGGCAGATTCAAAATTTTGGTTCATGATTTCGAAACAGCGTTCGTGAACAGAGTCACATGCCAGGATGCGTTATTTCGTGACGGTGCAGTAGTTCGTCGTTTTGCTGATGGTTTTCGGAAAGGTAATAGTACTCGCGATCGAATTTCATACAACCTCTATATAAGAAAATCAAAAGTTCTAATTGTTTAGATCGTATTAACGCAAGTACAAAATTAAGTATATATCATAAATATGTTGATTAATAAATAATCACTAAATGAGAAATATTGCGTAATAGTAAATTCTATGAACTTACAGTTTTAAAATAAATCAACATTCTTTATTCGCTAGCTAAACGTACGTCAATAAAATGAAATTAATGAATTAAATGATAATATATAATAATAAATATCTATGAACTTGAATAGCTTACCTTAAGTGTTTATTATAATCATCTATTCTAATTAAATTGGCTTATTTTAAAACATATAATGATTGATAAATGTTCATTATGCTCACAGACTAATTAATACGATTGGAATAAGAGACGCTGCGCAATTGTAAATAATCGTAAACCTATTTAAATATATTAAATAATAAATTTTCATTATATTTATAGTCTACATTTATGTGAATAAAATAGATTTAGTTAAAAGGTACGCTGTATAGTAAGAATCAACAACAGATAGTATTTATTATACGTACGGATTAAATTGCTGCGTATAATTATAATACTTTTAGCCAGTATTTCATATGCGTTTGTGTTTTCATGCTTTTCTTTTCACACGCATTAGGATTAACTAATAATTACTTTAATTGGCCATTAACTTTGTATTATTTGATAGTTAGTAACAGTAAGAAGTGAGATAATATTTAGTACTTAACTCTTTACATCCCTAGAGATATGATGTCTAAATTTTCTCGTGTACAGTACGCATGTGCATAATATACTTTCACGTAAGTATCTCTAAATGCATATCAATCACGACTTGTATGAGCGTATTTGATTCTTTTATTTTTGTCATTTGGCTCCAATCTAAAAATAAAAATAGGCCAAGTTTTATACATTTCTACGATGATATTTATGTACGTTGCAAAGGTTGAATTTGCCTCAGAATATACGACGGAATATTTTCTATTATTTTACTGAACAGATGGGTAAAGAAAAATGAAATTAAAGAATAAGATAGAAAATAAGCAAAACCCCAATAAGTGCACGCTCTCTCTAAACGCATGCTCGAATTTTGGCTCAAATATATACCTTAACCTTGTCAAAGTTTGGTCCCAAGAGTGTGAACTTATAGAAGTTTTACTGTATAGTATTAATTTGTCGAATTCTGTG